TAGGGAGGAGACTCTTCCACCCTCTCAAAGTCTATTCTCCCTCCTCCCTCTCTCGTCTGTGTATGCATTCTCTCTCATCTTGGGATCATTATTATTATGATTTATCAGCAGCGTTCGTCTATTTTGTCTTTGCGAGTGACGACTGATTATCACGACTGGGCACATTGCAGTTTGGTATCGGAGCATTCACTTCCGACATTGTCTTCACGGCGCACGCGTTTTTCTGACGCGCTATGATTACGACGCGCCAGTTTCTCTCCAAGGTCGCGCGCGCCAGGTAAGTAAGTGACGGGATACTCTCTCTTCGCGACATTATTGTCGCGCGTGTTTATTAACACGCTGTCTAGACATTGGGCCCGACAACGCGCGCGGCGGGCATGGTGATGACGGGCAGATTATCTGCCAATGATGATTGATTGCTGACGTGGCACATCCACGTCCATTGAAGATTGGAGCAGGGAACTTCTACTCATGCGCTGATGATATCTCGCCGACAATATAGAGTTGCCGCATTGCTATCTCGCCAGCCAGAGATGAGTGGAACTGATTGCTTGGCTCCTTGATTACTTGCTGGCATTGGCGAGGTACAGCGCTGACGTGGCAGACTTGATTGAACTAGGTATGCGGCAAGAAGATTTGTGAAGCGCAGCATTGTTGGAATTCGCCTTCACAAACGAAACTGGGTAACGAAAAGAAGCGGAGTGGCCAGCATTCATCGCTGAAGCCACCCCCCCCCTGATCTTGATTGGTTCGACGTGCTGACTTGGCGAGAGCTGAGTTGGCATATTGGGGGTTGGCTGAAGCAGGCACGTTGTGCCTTGGGAAACGATTGATGCATTCCGACGCTGAGAGCGGCACGAGCGATAGACTCTGGCTTGTGGTGCTTATATGCTGTTGAGATGATTGGAGTACATGCTGACGTGGCCTTGTGTGGTGGGAACTGACGTTGTCTGATTATGTTGACGGTACTCAGCTGTTGTTTGGCTGTGCATGTACACATACCTGTTGAATGCTAACGACCTTGGCCAGCTCGATTACCTGGTAGTGAAGTCATCACACGAATAGGAGAGAAAAAGAACTTAGAACAGCATATAGAAAGGACATCAATCAAGAGAATAATTAATTATTTTTATTTATTTATTTTCTTGTGTACTCTTT